TTTTCAAATTTATACTCTAATGAAATATATTTTAATAAGAAAGTATACTTAGTATTCTCGTTTGAATTGTTTTACATTGTCATTTCGGGGCCTTTAATAGCTGACTGTGCAGTATGGGCTTTGCTCATTGTTGAAGGCCGTACGGTGACCTATAGTTGTTAATTTCTGTGTCATTTGGTCTCTTGTGGAGAGTTGTCTCATTGGCAATCATACCACATCTTCTTTTTTATTTGTACTCCAATTTAGGATTTGAATTAAAACATGCATCACATTAATTTCTGAATTAATTATAACTGCAAATATTCTCTTAAAGAAAGTATACTTAGTATGCATCACATTAATTTCTGAATTAATTATAACTGCAAATATTCTCTTAAAGAAAGTATACTTAGTATTCTCGTTTGAATTGTTTTACATTGTCATTTCGGGGCCTTTTATAGCTGACTGTGCAGTATGGGCTTTGCTCATTGTTGAAGGCCGTACGGTGACCTATAGTTGTTAATTTCTGTGTCATTTGGTCTCTTGTGGAGAGTTGTCTCATTGCCAATCATACCACATCTTCTTTTTTATTTGTACTCCAATTTAGGATTTGAATTAAAACATGCATCACATTAATTTCTGAATTATTTATAACAGCAAATATTCTCTTAACATTGACAATTTGGAAACCCTTTCTCTAATAGTCTCACCTGAACGAAAGTAAAGTTTCCGATTGTCAATTTGGATATCTACATATTTAGTCGATTTTTTTAAAGTAATTTGGAAAATAAGACTTGATTTAGATTGTTTGAAATTCAGTTGAATTTTAATCATTTCTGTTCAAAATGTATACATCAGATTGTTTTGGTTAGCCACCAACTTCTGATAATTTGACACGCACATTAATTTCGGAAATAATGATTATTTCATTAAACCGTCTTCATTACTGATTGAAATATAGATTTAAAATGAAAATAAGTTAATGATATATAGTCAAAAAGAGCAATTGAGCAATGATGATGGCTGCTGCCATTAATGCCAGTTTTTCTTTATAGATATTTTGAAAGAAAAATAAAATTAAAGTAGCAAATTTTTTAAGTTTTATATTTGGTAACAATATTTTTGAACTTATTTTGTTTTTGTTTCAGATACCAGCCCCAGGATATTTACGTCAGGACAGGTAACATATGCATCGGAAAGTAAGTATATATTTTTTTTATTTATTAATAGTTGTCTGATAGATATTAAAATAATTTGAATATGTATTACAGATAGACGGGAGACCAGAGAGAAGAAGAACGTACAGTCCTAGACATGGAGATGATATAATTGTTGATGCCTAGATGATGATGTAGGTATTTTGTCATTACAATTGTACTTAAACTGTTAATAGTTGTAAGGTAATAAAATCAGTTTTCCCTGGAGAAACAGCTTGAAAATTTATTACAAATTAGTCCAAAATTTCTTTTTCAAATTTATACTCTAATGAAATATATTTTAATAAGAAAGTATACTTAGTATTCTCGTTTGAATTGTTTTACATTGTCATTTCGGGGCCTTTAATAGCTGACTGTGCAGTATGGGCTTTGCTCATTGTTGAAGGCCGTACGGTGACCTATAGTTGTTAATTTCTGTGTCATTTGGTCTCTTGTGGAGAGTTGTCTCATTGGCAATCATACCACATCTTCTTTTTTATTTGTACTCCAATTTAGGATTTGAATTAAAACATACATCACATTAATTTCTGAATTAATTATAACTGCAAATATTCTCTTAAAGAAAGTATACTTAGTATGCATCACATTAATTTCTGAATTAATTATAACTGCAAATATTCTCTTAAAGAAAGTATACTTAGTATTCTCGTTTGAATTGTTTTACATTGTCATTTCGGGGCCTTTTATAGCTGACTGTGCAGTATGGGCTTTGCTCATTGTTGAAGGCCGTACGGTGACCTATAGTTGTTAATTTCTGTGTCATTTGGTCTCTTGTGGAGAGTTGTCTCATTGGCAATCATACCACATCTTTTTTGTTTGTACTCCAATTTAGGATTTGAATTAAAACATGCATCACATTAATTTCTTAATTAATTATAACTGCAAATATTCTCTTAAAGAAAGTATACTTAGTATGCATCACATTAATTTCTGAATTAATTATAACTGCAAATATTCTCTTAAAGAAAGTATACTTAGTATTCTCGTTTGAATTGTTTTACATTGTCATTTTGGGGCTATTTATAGCTGACTGTGCAGTATGGGCTTTGCTCATTGTTGAAGGCCGTACGATGACCTATAGTTGTTAATTTCTGTGTCATTTGGTCTCTTGTGGAGAGTTGTCTCATTGCCAATCATACCACATCTTCTTTTTTATTTGTACTCCAATTTAGGATTTGAATTAAAACATGCATCACATTAATTTCTGAATTAATTATAACAGCAAATATTCTCTTAACATTGACAATTTGGAAACCCTTTCTCTAATAATCTCACCTGAACGAAAGTAAAGTTTCCGATTGTCAATTTGGATATCTACATATTTAGTCGATTTTTTTAAAGTAATTTGGAAAATATGACTTAATTTAGATTGTTTGAAATTCAATTGAATTTTAATCATTTGTTAGGTCATTAAAATCAGTTTTTCCCTGGAAATTTACATATTCATCTGCATTTTTCTATAAGTAATTGGGAAAATATGACCTGATTTAGATTGTTCGAAATTCAGTTGAATTTTAATCATTTCTGTTCAAGTGTATACATGTATACAGATTGTTTTGAATAGCCACCAATTTGTGATAATTTGACGCACACATTAATTTCGAAAATAATGATTATATCATTAAACCGTCTTCATTACTGATTAAAATAAAGATTTAAAATGAAAATAGTTAATGATATATAGTTAAAAAGAGCAATTGACCAATGATTTTGGCTGCCATTAGTGCCAGTTTTTTCTTTCTAAATATTTTGAAAAAAAATTTATTTTTTAAATAAGCAAACTTTATTAAAAGTTTTATATTTGGTTTGATATTTTTGAACTGTCTTTTTTTTTTTGCTCATTGTTGAATATATGTAAATTTTATTTGAGTTTATCAGCATCTGTCTATAAATAATTTTGTCTTTGTTTCAGATACTATGAAGAAGATGTTTACAGCAAAGACCCCGAAAATGGAGCCATTGACTAAGACCAGGACAAAAAAATTAAAGGAAAGTATATTTAATTTTAGTCTAATTATAATTTTAGTTCTATTACAGTAGCAGGCCTTACCAAGTTCCAGTCAGTCACAGAACATGAAGATTGTTTCATTGAAGATTGGAAATGAGTAGCATGTAAGTATTTGGTTATACAATTGTACTTAAAACTATGTTCATATTTGTTAGGTCATTAAAATCAGTTTTTCCCTGGAAATTTACATATTTATCTGCATTTTTTTACAAGTAATTGGGAAAATATGACCTGATTTAGATTGTTTGAAATTCAGTTGAATTTTAATCATTTCTGTTCAAGTGTATACATCAGATTGTTTTGAATAGCCACCAACTTGTGATCATTTGACACACACATTAATTTCGAAAAATAATGATTATATCATTAAACCGTCTTCATTACTGGTTAAAATAAAGATTTAAAATGAAAATAGTTAATGACATATAGTCAAAAAGAGCAATTGACCAATGATGTTGGCTGCCATTAATGCCAGTTTTTTCTTTCTAAATATTTTGATAAAAGTTTAATTTTTTAAATAAGCAAACTTTATTAAAAGTTTTATATTTGGTTTGATATTTTTGAACTGTCTTTTTTTTTTTGCTCACTGTTGAATATATGTAAATTTTATTTGAGTTTATCAGCATCTGTCTATAAATAATTTTGTCTTTGTTTCAGATACTATTAGAAGATGTTTACAGCAAAGACCCCGAAAAATGGAGCCATTGGCGAAGACCAGGACAAGATGCTTAAAGTAGCAGGCCTTACCAAGTTTCAGTCGCAGAAGATGAAGATTATTTCATTGAAAATTGGAGATAAATAACATGTAAGTATTTGGTTATTACAATTGTACTTTAAACTATGATAATATTTGTTAGGTATTTAAAATCAGTTTTCTCCTGGAAAAACTGCTTGAAATTTCATTAAAAAAATGGTCCAAAATTTCTTTGTCAAATTTATACTCTTATGAAATATATTTTAATAAGAATGTATTGTAATATTAAATATACTTATACCCCAATTTAGGATTTGACATAAAACATTCATCACATTAATTTCTGAAATAATTATTACAACGAATAGTTGCTTAACATTGACAATTTGGATATATACATATTTATCTGCATTTTTTTTTTAAGTAATTGGGAAAAAATGGCTTGATTTAGATTGTTTTCTGTTCAAAATGTACACATCAGATTGTTTTGGTTAACTTAGCCACCATTTTCTGATAATTCGAAGCACACATTAATTTTGGAAATAATTATTATATCATTTAACTGTCTTCTTACTATTTAAAATGAAAATAATGAATGATATATAGTCTAAAAGGGCAACTGACCAATGATGTTCGCTGCCATTAATGCCAGTTTTTTCTTTCTATATTGAAGCTCCAAGGAAGATTAATTATTACATTAATCTTCACCCAAGTCTGAGGCCATGACATGAAAGAAATAACGCAAGTATATTTAAGCCAACCAATTTCTGTACATTATCTAGAAAAATGTGATAAAGTACATAAGGCAACACACATTTTTCTTATTTTGCACATTTACAACACAGAAATAGATAATTTATCAGGTTAACAAATGTTTTCCAGGTACACAAATAAAATTTTATAACGTGAAAAGTAAATCCTGAGATAGAATTTTATCCTTCAAGGGGAGACTAGTACAATAAACAGCAAGAATGTTTCTTTCAGTGGGAGATAACTCACTATTATGCAATTAGAATACAGAATTTAAAAAAAAATTTAGGTTGGCAATTTAACAGATTTGTAAAATATATAATTTGTGTCAATTCTAATTCCTTTTTAGGTTATATTAGTGCCAATGTTTTCATGAATGGGGAGTAAGACTTGGTGGTATAATATTTCTAATATACAAGTAGGTATATAATTCCTCTATTTAAACAAAGGAGGTCTGGTAAGGGTTCGTTTTGGCCTAATAATGAAGTACATCTAATGAAAGATTTTTGACATTTTTTAAACACGCAAGTGTCTACTTCAGTCGATTCAATTAGTGTATGTAAAAGATTTGGACTGATTTGGTCATAAACCGTCTTCATTACTGATTGAAATATAGATTTAAAATGAAAATAAGTTAATGACATATAGTCAAAAAGAGCAATTGACCAATGATGTTGGCTGCCATTAATGCCAGTTTTTTCTTTCTAAATATTTTGATAAAAGTTTAATTTTTTAAATAAGCAAACTTTATTAAAAGTTTTATATTTGGTTTGATATTTTTGAACTGTCTTTTTTTTTTTGCTCACTGTTGAATATATGTAAATTTTATTTGAGTTTATCAGCATCTGTCTATAAATAATTTTGTCTTTGTTTCAGATACTATTAGAAGATGTTTACAGCAAAGACCCCGAAAAATGGAGCCATTGGCGAAGACCAGGACAAGATGCTTAAAGTAGCAGGCCTTACCAAGTTTCAGTCGCAGAAGATGAAGATTATTTCATTGAAAATTGGAGATAAATAACATGTAAGTATTTGGTTATTACAATTGTACTTTAAACTATGATAATATTTGTTAGGTATTTAAAATCAGTTTTCTCCTGGAAAAACTGCTTGAAATTTCATTAAAAAAATGGTCCAAAATTTCTTTGTCAAATTTATACTCTTATGAAATATATTTTAATAAGAATGTATTGTAATATTAAATATACTTATACCCCAATTTAGGATTTGACATAAAACATTCATCACATTAATTTCTGAAATAATTATTACAACGAATAGTTGCTTAACATTGACAATTTGGATATATACATATTTATCTGCATTTTTTTTTTAAGTAATTGGGAAAAAATGGCTTGATTTAGATTGTTTTCTGTTCAAAATGTACACATCAGATTGTTTTGGTTAACTTAGCCACCATTTTCTGATAATTCGAAGCACACATTAATTTTGGAAATAATTATTATATCATTTAACTGTCTTCTTACTATTTAAAATGAAAATAATGAATGATATATAGTCTAAAAGGGCAACTGACCAATGATGTTCGCTGCCATTAATGCCAGTTTTTTCTTTCTATATTGAAGCTCCAAGGAAGATTAATTATTACATTAATCTTCACCCAAGTCTGAGGCCATGACATGAAAGAAATAACGCAAGTATATTTAAGCCAACCAATTTCTGTACATTATCTAGAAAAATGTGATAAAGTACATAAGGCAACACACATTTTTCTTATTTTGCACATTTACAACACAGAAATAGATAATTTATCAGGTTAACAAATGTTTTCCAGGTACACAAATAAAATTTTATAACGTGAAAAGTAAATCCTGAGATAGAATTTTATCCTTCAAGGGGAGACTAGTACAATAAACAGCAAGAATGTTTCTTTCAGTGGGAGATAACTCACTATTATGCAATTAGAATACAGAATTTAAAAAAAAATTTAGGTTGGCAATTTAACAGATTTGTAAAATATATAATTTGTGTCAATTCTAATTCCTTTTTAGGTTATATTAGTGCCAATGTTTTCATGAATGGGGAGTAAGACTTGGTGGTATAATATTTCTAATATACAAGTAGGTATATAATTCCTCTATTTAAACAAAGGAGAAGGTCTGGTAAGGGTTTGTTTTGGCCTAATAATGAAGTACATCTAATGAAAGATTTTTGACATTTTTTAAACACGCAAGTGTCTACTTCAGTCGATTCAATAAGTGTATGTAAAAGATTTGGACTGATTTGGTCATAAAAGACGCTCAAATAGAGGCTTAAATACGAAAAATCTATCAAATAATCCATAAAATGTCACTTTTCAGATGGTTTTTGTCTAAAATGAAAGTGGCCGCATTCGTGTTCAGTCTCAACCTTTATATATGTTATGTATTATCATCAAATACAACATATATTTAAATATTAAGACAGAACACAAATGCGGCCACTTCAATTTTTAACAAAAACCACCGTAAAATTAGCACAAATGCTAAAATTGTGAAGATTTCAGTAGTATTGCATGAATTTCTGATGTTATTACTTGATGCATGTGCATTGTATTGTCAAAATCAGCCCATATTAATGGAAAGATTTTTGACATTTTTTAAACACGCAAGTGTCTACTTCAGTCGATTCAATTAGTGTATGTAAAAGATTTGGACCGATTTGGTCATAAAAGACGCTCAAATAGAGGCTTAAATACGAAAAATCTATCAAATAATCCATAAAATGTCACTTTTCAGATGGTTTTTGTCTAAAATGAAAGTGGCCGCATTCGTGTTCAGTCTCAACCTTTATATATGTTATGTATTATCATCAAATACAACATATATTTAAATATTAAGACAGAACACAAATGCGGCCACTTCAATTTTTAACAAAAACCACCGTAAAATTAGCACAAATGCTAAAATTGTGAAGATTTCAGTAGTATTGCATGAATTTCTGATGTTATTACTTGATGCATGTGCATTGTATTGTCAAAATCAGCCCATATTAATGGAACAGAAGTATTCTTCTTTGCAATAAATAGCTAAAAGTTTACATTTAAACAAATTTGTAAAAATGCTATATTTTGGGGCCAAAAAGGGGTCTTACCAGGCCTACTCCTTTTATTTTTATAAAATAAGTTTAAAGGAAATAAAATGTGCTCAAGGCTTAAAGTTGTAAGAGGTAAATATGTTGTTTTTTTCTTGACTAAATGTTCTAAAGATTTGAATTGGTTACAATGGATGTCATTGTAAAGACTTAATTTTTGTATGCAGACTTTGGCAAAACCACGAAATGAAGTACCCACAAAAATACAATTGTTCCTTAATATAAAATAAATTGGTGCCCAAGAAAATAAAGAAATCCACAATAATATGCAAGCAATATAATTGTACTTAAAACTATGTTCATATTTGTTAGGTCATTAAAATCAGTTTTTCCCTGGAAATTTACATATTCATCTGCATTTTTCTATAAGTAATTGGGGAAAATATGACCTGATTTAGATTGTTTGAAATTCAGTTGAATTTTAATCATTTCTGTTCAAGTGTATACATCAGATTGTTTTGAATAGCCACCAACTTGTGATAATTTGACGCACACATTAATTTCGAAAATAATGATTATATCATTCAACGGTCTTCATTACTGATTAAAATAAAGATTTAAAATGAAAATAGTTAATGATATATAGTCAAAAAGAGCAATTGACCAATGATGTTGGCTGCCATTAATGCCAGTTTTTTCTTTCTAAATATTTTGAAAAAAGTTTTATTTTTTAAATAAGCAAACTTTATTAAAAGTTTTATATTTGGTTTGATATTTTTGAACTGTCTTTTTTTTTTTTTGCTCACTGTTGAATATATGTAAATTTTATTTGAGTTTATCAGCATCTGTCTATAAATAATTTTGTTTTTGTTTCAGATACTATGAAGAAGATGTTTACAGCAAAGACCCCGAAAATGGAGCCATTGACGAAGACCAGGAGATGAAAATTAAAGGGAAGTATATTTTATTTTAATCTTATAAATATGATCTAATTATAATGTTAGTTTTTATTACAGTAGCAGGCCTTACCAAGTTTCAGTCAAAGAACATGAAGATTAGAGATGAGTAGCATGTAAGTATTTGGTTATTATTATTGTACTTAACAAATCTTTACATAGCTTTTTTAGGTAATTAAAATCAGTTTTTCCCTAGGGAAACCGCTGGAAATTTAATTACAAAATGGTCCAAAATTTCTTTTTTCAAATAAGTAATTTGGAAACAATGGCTTGATTTAGATTGTTTGAAGATTCAGTTGAATTTTGATAATTTCTGCTCAAAATTATACATCAGATTGTTTTGGTTAGCAGGGATGATTCTGCTGTATAGTTCAGGGCTGCTTAGGGGCCTAAAATTGTCTGGCGGAGCCCAAAAAAATTTATTAGAACACAAATTCCCAATTCAGGAAAAAAAAATTTACGTCACTGATTTAGGCAACTATAATTTTTCACAGTTTGTTGTCAAAGCGTTTAAAAATCCGGATAAGAATGCTGTCAACGATCTCATTTTATTAACAATTATTCAATCATGGTAACTTGTGGTTTATTATTTTTTTTCTCAATATCTTTGGTCTCATAAAAGTAGACCTCTCAGATACAATTGACGAAAATGCTATGGGAGTAATTGATCTCGTAAAACCAGATCACCCAGCAGATCATATAAATGATGCTTTTTGTCAGGATGGGCCTCGTAAAAGCAGACCTCTGCAGAGAGCAAATTTTTATTTTTTATATAACATTGATGAATTTAAAGGGCACTGATCTCGTAAATGCAGATCGCCCAGCAAGTCAGGTTATATAATATGTCGGAAACTTGTTTTATGAAAAATCATATTTTATATCTTGTCTGGCTCTATTTCCTCAAGGCAAAAGTCTGACCGTTAAACTTTTAACTGCAGTGTACAGGTAAAACGAAATACATTTTCTGTTTTTCCAGGCAAAAAATGTTATTTCTTCAAAGATTTTATGCATAAAAAAAATCCCCATTGGGATGAAAATTCCCAATTTGATGGTTAATGGACCCATTTGAAAAACACCTGAAATCATCCCTGGTTAGCCACCAACTTCTGATAATTTAACAATGAACTACTACCACTCAAGATCTAATTATAATTTTAGTTTTTATTACAGTAGCAGGCCTTACCAAGTTTCAGTCACAGAACATGAAGATTGTTTCATTGAAGCTTTAAATAATAAAGATTTAAAATGAAAATAGTTAATGATATATAGCCAAAAAGAGCAATTGACCAATGGTGTTGGCTGCCATAAATGCCAGTTTTTTCTTTCTAAATATTTTGAAAAAAGTTTTATTTTTTAAATAAGCAAACTTTATTAAAAGTTTTATATTTGGTTTGATATTTTTGAACTGTCTTTTTTTTGCTCACTGTTGAATATATGTAAAATTTTATTTGAGTTTATCAGCATCTGTCTACAAATAATTTTGTTTTTGTTTCAGATACTATGAAGAAGATGTTTACAGCATAGACCCTGAAAATAGAGCCATTGGTGAAGACCAGGACAAGATGCTTAAAGTAGCAGGCCTTACCAAGTTTCAGTCGCAGAAGATGAAGATTATTTCATTGAAAATTGGAGATAAATAACATGTAAGTATTTGGTTATTACAATTGTACTTTAAACTATTATAATATTTGTTAGGTATTTAAAATCAGTTTTCTCCTGGAAAAACTGCTTGAAATTTCATTACAAAATGGTCCAAAATTTCTTTGTCAAATTTATATTCTTATGAAATATATTTTAATAAGAATGTATTGTAATATTAAATATACTTATACCCCAATTTAGGATTTGACATAAAACATGCATCACATTAATTTCTGAAATAATTATTACAACAAATAGTCGCTTAACATTGACAATTTGGAGATATACATATTTATCTGCATTTTTTTTTTTTAAGAAATTGGGAAAATATGGCTTGATTTAGATTGTTTTCTGTTCAAAATGTACACATCAGATTGTTTTGGTTAACTTAGCCACCGTTTTCTGATAATTCGAAGCACACATTAATTTTGGAAATAATAATTATATCATTTTACTGTCTTCATTACTATTTAAAATGAAAATAATGAATGATATATAGTCTAAAAGGGCAACTGACCAATGATGTTCGCTGCCATTAATGCCAGTTTTTTCTTTCTATATTGAAGCTCCAAGGAAGATTAATTATTACATTAATCTTCACCCAAGTCTGAGGCCATGACATGAAAGAAATAACGCAAGTATATTTAAGCCAACCAATTTCTGTACATTATCTAGAAAAATGTGATAAAGTACATAAGGCAACACACATTTTTCTTATTTTGCACATTTACAACACAGAAATAGATAATTTATCAGTTTGACAAATGTTTTCCAGGTACACAAATAAAATTTTATAACGTGAAAAGTAAATCCCGAGATAGAATTTTATCCTTCAAGGGGAGACTAGTACAATAAACAGCAAGCATGTTTCTTTCAGTGGGAGATAACTCACTATTATGCAATCAGAATACAGAATTTAAAAAAAAATTTAGGTTGGAAATTTAACAGATTTGTAAAATATATAATTTGTGTCAATTCTAATTCCTTTTTAGGTTATTTTAGTGCCAAAGTTTTCATGAATGGGGAGTAAGACTTGGTGGTATAATATTTCTAATATACAAGTAGGTATATAATTCGTCTATTTAAACAAAGGAGAAGGTCTGGTAAGGGCTCGTTTTGGCCTAATATTCGAAGTACATCTAATGAAAGATTTTTGACATTCACGCAAGTGTCTACTTCAGTCGATTCAATTAGTGTATGTAAAAGATTTGGACTGATTTGGTCATAAAAGACCCTCAAATAGAGGCTTAAATACGAAAAATCTATCAAATAATCCATAAAATGTCACTTTTCAGATGGTTTTTGTCTAAAATGAAAGTGGCTGCATTTGTGTTCAGTCTCGACCTTTATATTTGTTATGTATTATCATCAAATACAACATATATTTAAATATTAAGATGGAACACAAATGCGGCCACTTTCATTTTAGACAAAAACCACCGTAAAATTAGCACAAATGCTAAAATTGTGAAGATTTCAGTAATATTGCATGAATTTCTGATGTTATTACCCGATGCATGTGCATTGTATTGTCAAAATCAGCCCATATTAATGGAACAGAAGTATTCTTCTTTGCAATAAATAGCTAAAAGTTTACATTTAAACAAATTTGTAAAAATGCTATATTTTGGGGCCAAAAAGGGGTCTTACCAGGCCTACTCCTTTTATTATTATAAAATAAGTTTAAAGGAAATAAAATGTGCTCAAGGCTTAAAGTTGTAAGAGGTAAAATGTTGTTTTTTTCTTGACTAAATGTTCTAAAGATTTGAATTGGTTACATGGATGTCATTGTAAAGACTATTTTTGTTTGCAGACTTTGGCAAAACCACGAAATAAAGTACCCACAAAAATACAATTGTTCCTTAATATAAAATAAATTGGTGCCCAAGAAAATAAAGAAATCCACAATAATATGCAAGCAATATTCCAACACTGATTCTATTTATTTTTTAAGAATTTTTATTGACTAAGCATTTTACTTTTTCAGGCTAGCAATAATTACTGCTTTTCAGTACGGGTTGAGGTTTAGAATGATCATTGGAGCTGACTTTTAAGGTAAGAAAGAACCATTGCATAGATTTATGAACTTGTTGATTACAGATTATGTAAATGCCCTTGAATTTTGTTATGCCTGTGAGTTTTTATGACAGAAGCCTGGCATGTGGTCTCCTGGGGGTCCAAGTGTGAAGTGGGATTGGCCGATTTTTTATAACCTTGACATGGGAAAGGGAAAGTATTGTGCAGGAAACAGTTTGGGAGGAGACATGAAATTACAAGGGTTATTATTACAATGATAAGCGGGATATGGGATTAGACGGAAAGCCTTCATACTTGGTCAAATTGTTTTCCATCATGTGTAGTTGACCATAATATACCACTATTTTGATTCGACTATTATTAAAGAAGTGATGGGATGTTGATTGCAATTTTAAGTATTATGACCATAAAACACCTTCTGAACACCACAACTCTTGAGACTCTTACAGAAAGCTCCCATACGTAATGGGATTGTTTCCCCGTCATGTATAGTTATAAAAATATGGAGATGTGGTATGATTGCCAATGAGACAACTGTCCACCAAAGTTCAAATGAAGTGGATGAAAGCAATTATAGGCAACGGTACGGCTTTCAACAATAAGAAAAATCCCATACCGTATGGTCGCCTAAAAAAGGCCATATACCATTATTTAGACCTGGCCATTTCTATAGGGACTTCGACTATTTATTTTGAGTATTGTAACAGTGTCACCTTATGAATGCAACTCCTAAGACCATTTGACAGAAAGCTCGCAAACTTGATAGGATTGTTTGCCATTGTGAGTTGTTTACAAGAAGAGAAAAGATTTCTGCACAAATGCGGGAAACTGAAAAAGTTAATTATTTTGATTACATTTGTATATTTATTTTTATATTTATTTTTTGTTTTATTGATTTTCCCACTGTTATTGGGGACAAAGTCCTCATATAAATGTTTAAAAGATTTGAATTGATTACATAGAAGTCATATTTGTTTGTGTTGTTGGGTTTCGTCACATTGATGTGTTCTCTGCATCGTCTTTTACCTTGATATGTTATATATCACCTATTTCTATATAATGAACATAAGTATAGCAACAAAGATTCTTTTCTAACTATTTTGAATGACTAAGCATTATATATTTCAGGTTAGCATTACAGCTTGTCCTTACAGATTGATGTTGGAAATGGCCATTGGAGTTGAATTTTAAAGGTAAGAAAGAACTATTATATAGATTTATAAACTTTTTTATTTAAGATCTTGTAAATTCCCATGGTTTTTATAATCTTATTACAATTTAATGTTTTCTGGAAGGACATGTCAAGTTTAAGGAAGGGAAAAATGATTATTTTGGAAAGTTTCTCTCCTTTAATTGTAATTCCCAGTTTGCTATTTGTTGCCTATTTCAGTTTCTTAAAATATGACAGAAAATTGAAAAGTGTCTATTTCTTTTTCAGATAACTATTACTGTGGCTGAAGGAAATAATTGTTTGATTAATTCTCCGTATCCTTCAGAGTTGTTGCAAAGGTTATTAACATGTATACAGCTTGGCACTCTACACAAGGCATTGGATTTAACGTCTCCATTCTGACCGGACATGGCTGCGAATTCATACAGAGTCAAATGCACGTTTAATGTCTACAAAACATGCATATAATTGTTGGGATTTATTTCTTATGTATTTTTGTATAAGAGTTTTTATTACAAACGTATGATCAGATGTACTACATCCTCTGTTAAATCCAATTTGCTCTTTACAAATGAGTTTTTTCTTCTCAAAAAAAGGCTGTCAGTCTATTTTATTTAATATTCTGTTAAAAAGTTGACCAATAGTGTCACTTATTGTTATACCTCTATAGTTTGAAGGATCATATATTGACCCCTTTGTATGTATAGTTGAAATATTCTCTTTGACCATATTTTAGATAGATTCCTGCGGAAAAAAATCTATTAAAAGCTTTTAAAAATAGTGGGTTAAAAATTGATTGGCAGTACTTAATTATTTCATTTAGTATCATATTTAATCCACAGGATTTGCCATTCTTTAAAGATTTAATAGCTTTTAGTAGTTCAGACTCTGTAATCTTGAAAGTCTTAATTCATTAAAAATATTAGTTTTTTCTAAATTATTAAGCTCCTGTAGAATTGATTCATTTTCAGCAATTGTATTTTTATTTAGGGATTTAAAATGAAACTCCCAATCTTCCAAACTGATATTTGTTTCCTTTTTATCATTGTTATCTCCTTTTAATTTTTCAACTAATTTCCAATAGGCTTTAGGATTTTCATTTTTAAGATTATCTAGCTTATTAAAGAAATAACTCTTTAACTTACATTTATCTTTTCTCGTTTTTCTGTAATGTTTTAGGCATTTAAAATATGACCCTCTAATGTATTGGTCATTGCTATACTTTTGCAATCGATTGCATTTATGATCTAGTTCTTGTTTTATTTTCTTAAGACTGTAATCATACCATAACTTTTGCTTTCTGTTATTAACTTTCTTTTAATATTTTTTCATAGTTTTCTTCTTTTTTAAGGCTAAGTCGCCTGCAGTTATAATGATTTTATTTAGGTTATCTATCATATATTTTTATGCTTATGAGTTATATTCATGTATGTTGTTTTTAATAATAAAAAATTCCTAAGGCATATAAGTATAACAGGAATTGATTGTCTTCTTGCACACATGTAATACATGTAGGCGTAGGAATTTTAGCACCAAAAATTAGGTTGTAAAGTGAACTGAAATTTGTAAGTATTTTGTGAACATTGTATTTTTTTAAGGATCTTTAAGAGAACAAAGATTTGCATAATTTTGTATTTTTTAAATTAATTTTCATGTAGGTGGAATGGCTATACAAACGTAATCGTATTTCGACTTTTGTACCAAATTTTTTATAGCCGTAGTCCTAATGACAAGATTTCTTTTTTACTTACATATATTCAAACAAAATTATGTTTTCTTTTACTCATTTCCCGGAGTGAGGTCCTACACTTAGAGTTTCGCTGGCATTGACAAAAGGACACAGGTTTCCTAAAATGGGTTTTTCCTGGTTGGCCACGGAACATTGAAATGTAGTTATTCAGTTTTTCAAATGCAAAAGGTTGACATGAGATTATTTTTCTAGTATAAGTTATTGAATTCATATTGTATAATGTATAGTGTGTAATTTGTCTTATTAAATCGGCAGCTCACAATATGCAGTACTCGAGCTAGTCAAAAAACATAAGTTTGTGTTGTGTATTTCTTTAAGTAGTTAGGTTAAATGTATTTAGTGGAAAGAATCCTATGAATTCAAGATGTCTGGGTTATTGGCAGTATGAATATATAAAAAAAAAATCTGGTGTGATTACCAATTAGACAACACTCCACAAGAGACCAAATGACATAGAAATTAACAACTATAGGTCACTGTACGGCCTTTAACAATGAGCAAAACCCATACCGCATAGTCAGCTATAAAATCCCCCGAAATGACAATTGTAAAACAATTCAAACATTTGTTTTGTTGAGCCTATTTATTTGAGGGAAAGAAGTTATGATACTATATATAGTATATAATCAGCTATAGTTAGATGAGGAGATAAGGCGTCTGCGCAATGCTAGGAGGTGTTGTCAGTGTTGTCGTAGAAGTATAAACTGAAAAGTACAGGTTCCAGACCCAGTCGGGGAGGATGTAAAGAATCAGATCTACTCTAACATTGTTAGGTTGATTTTCTAGGCACTTTATATATATATACATGTATATATATATTAAAATATATCAAGGCAATGTCATGGACCATAAAATGCAGGAAAAGTTTGATTTTGATGGTTTTGACATTTACATTGAACAAGAAATGCCATATTTACCGCTAAAATCTGGGTTTCCATGACAATACTGCTTTACCAAATCTGTTGAAATGAACACAGGTCTAGTTTGCTTTTAATATGGTTTTGACATTTACCATTCAAGAGAAATGTGCCCCAAGATACCTTAAAAATTTGGTTTTCTGTTACTGACTATACTGCTGGAGAACAAAAACTTGAAAAAAAAACAATGTCATAGACCATGAAGTGCAGGTCAAGTTAGATTTTGATGTTTTTCACATTTCCCATTCAATAGTAATGCCCTAAGATTACCTTAAAAAATGGTATTTCTTTAATTTCTGGATAATTTGACCAAATTGATGCTTTGAAATTGTACACAATATCATGGATCATCAAATACAGTTCAAGGTTCATTTTGATGGTTTTCTGCAAGCAGCTAGGTGTATCTGATCACTAGATATCTTAGATCTAGTTTGCCAAATCTGGATGGCAAATGCAGGTCACAGGAAAGAGGTTTCTGAAGGGTGTTTCACAGGATTTTATTTCAATCACTTGGTTAGGTTAAGTGTATGACTATTTTATTTCAGATCCAGGATATAAATAGGATCAGACAAGTTTTACAAACTTGTGAACCATTGTACAATTTTTCAAAGCACACAATGAGTACATTTGGTTTAAAATAATTTTTTTAACTCCTTTTTGGTCTGTTAATGTTCCTTCATGCTACACTGTGCTCTGTACACAAATGAGATTTTTTGCTGTGTTTTTAGTGGTCAGTTTGTATAATTATGTGGTTTCACATGTGCTAATTTGGAGGTATAGATTGTGTAGTGCATTTTCTGTTGAAAATTAGCTTTTATTGTCACGTGGCTACCCTTGTTGTAAACTTTTCAAAAATATCTCTGGTGAAACTACTATAAGGCCAGAATTTTTATGTTTTTTTTAATCAGGCCAAAATACTACAAATTTCACATAGAAATAGTTAGGATATAACTATTAATACAAAATAACTTCTTTTTGGCACATCACATTAAAAAAGAAAGGAATGACCCCTCAAATATGCATTATTTGTGTTGTAATGTCAGTCTTGGTCAAATTTTCAATAATTCTTAAAAGCTTTTTTCTCACCTTGACAAAGTATAAAAAAAACAGATTTGGTGTACTGTTCCGGACTGTGGTATAAGTTGCGGTGTCAGTTGCAGTGTCAACAATACACTAGTTT